ATAAATAAATAAAATAAAAAAATAAAATATTCCAATTTTCACTGCTACTTTCCCTTTGGTTTCCCTGCGTGTGGTCAGCTAGGGCCCTTGGCAGTAGCTTCTTGCCCATGTGTTTGGACCTGCTTTCTTCTGCATCCAGAGGACACATGGCTTAAATTTTGATCACAGACAGTAAGACTGGCTTTCTTCCCCCCAAGGTTTAGAATCGAAACACTTTGTAAAGACAATCTACTTATCAAATTTAAGGTGATCCATTCCCACCACCAATGATGAAAAATACTTTTAAAATGTACTGAGTTAAAGCAAAATCCAGGGTAAAGTGAAGTGCTTTTGTGGATTTGAAAGATCGGTTTAATTCTGTTCCTATCAGCTATAGGGGTGGACTGGACTCATCACAGGAAACTTCAAAATTAGCTATCAACACAACTCAAGACCTATTAGAGAAGGACAAGAGCATCCACTGGCCACAGCAGCATCTCCCGCCCCTCCTCACAGCCAGCAGCGAAGTGGTCAAAGATCCCCCCTTCCTAAGAGCCGCCACTGGTTAGAAATTGGGAAGGTCCCAACTGCACTGTGCGATTAAGTCTGTAGCACAGAGAATCCCAATTCTTAAACCAATCAGGTTAGTAAAATAAAATGTCAAACAGCAATCCAGCACTCACCTTTGTCATGAACACAAACTGAGAGTTTCTTGACACCATCAACCAGAACATTCTGTGTGTTGCCATGTCCATCTTCTGAGTCGCTGTCATCAAACTGAGCCTCTATAATGACATCAGGACTGTCATTATAGCCTTTCACGGACTGCTGTGGGAGATGGCTTCCACAGAGCTCCTCAGGGAGATCTAATTCATAGGCACCTTCTGTTTCTTTGTCATTGCTCTCTGGTTTAATTACCTGAAGAAAATAGAAAAGTTCTGCTAAATCACTGGAGGGAAGAATGGGAAATAACAGATTTTTCTTTGCTCATTTTTCTTTCCTAAAGGAAAAGTGCACATTCAGAAGCTCACAGCAATGGCCACTCACCATGTAGCTTGAAAAAAGTATTTATTTTCCAGCTGCATAGACTACCTTATGGAGACGATCAATCCAGCAGTGCCAGGGTGGCCCTCAGCTCTTCAAGATGCCCAAGATGAATGCCATAACTACTCCCCATTTTTCTGATGTACCTGTTCATCCTCTCTCCCCCAGAGGCCCTGAATACCACAGGTACTAAGCTGCTTCATTAAGGGTACATCACATGGATCAGTGAGTATGTTCAGAGGGCATAAAAGAACTCAGCATAGTATGTTACTGCATTCCATATGAAGCCACAGGAAATGATGAAACAGAAAAAACAAAATTAAATGTAAATAAGAGTTTATAAATGTTCTCATAAAAAATTAAAGCCCTTAATTCTCCATTTTGAGGCTTGAAATCAGTATAGAAAGCACACAACTGATGGATATTTACACTAGTACTAAGAATGGAGCATTATATAATATGACAAATATTTTCAATTAAAAAAAGAGAAGAGTATAGATACTAATCCACTTAATGAGTTTGTCAAATAACAGTCATATGTCAGTAGTCTGATTTCTATGGCATTTGATTTCTATGGGTTTCTGTAGCAGTTTCTCTATGTGCTTAATCTTGAGAGGTCTAACATTTTTCTGAGTTTAACCTTGAAGTTTCAAAATAGATGTTCACCTTCAACAAGCCAGATTACCATTTGAATTAGACCACACAAAGATCCTTTAATAAGGGATCTTTATCTTACACAAGGCAGAAAAAAATTACTGAAAGAAATCTTTCCCCAAACATTTTCATGGCACAGATTCCAATTAACATAACCATCCCCAGACAATGAATATTATATTCACCCAGAAAATCAAAGTAAAATATTACAAAGGTATTCTAAAGATTCTAAGAATATATTCCCAAGTTTTTTAAAAAATGACTTCATGAAAATGTGGAAACAAAAATTTGTAAACAGTAGTTAATTTTTCAGAGTAAAATTGTGTCTTTTAATAATATTTTTTGACAACTTGATTCCCAATTTCTATATATATATAATGAAATCTTCTTTCAACTCTTGCCATGTTTTGACTCGTCACATTCATTCATTCATTTGTTCATTCTTTCACTATGAGAAGTTTGAAGGTTCCTTTTCTTTGATAGTAAAAGAAAAAAAATTCAACTGGCTAGGCCAGAAATCTCCAAAAAAGATTCCCTCAGGGAAGAGGGAAGCCACAGTCAGTCTTTAAATTAATATACCATCATAAAACCCAGCTCTCCTCTCTGCATTTCTGCCCTGTCACATTAAGTCTGGTTTGTTTTCATGCCTGACCCAAAGGAGATCACTCAAAAAATAGAGAATTCACTGACAAATTAGAGAAGAAAAAGAATTTGACATCACTCAAATCAGCAAACCTAGTCATAATGTTCTTAAACATGCCTGGCAAATTCAGTAGCATTTAGGAAGATCTGCCCCAACCGTCCTCGAAAAGTGAACACACCTTGCGTGTTGTCAGAATAGCCCAAAGCATGGGGCACCTGGGTGGTTCAGTCGGTTAAGTGTCTGACTTTGGCGCAGGTCTTGATCTCAGGGCCCTGGCTTCGAGCCCAGCATCGGGCACCTCACTCAGTGGAGAGTCTGCTCGCCCCTTTCCCTCTGTCCCTCCCCCAGCTTGTGCTCTCTCTCAAATAAATAAATAAAATCTTTGAAAAAATAGCCCAAAGCACAGGCAGGAGGTATATGTGCACCCTCTGTGTCTAAAGCATGGTGGTTATGACAGGATCACTGCTCTGTTGTTTTTTTCTACATCATTCCCACACACAATTTCTCTCAGAGAGAAGAGGGACTAGGGCTGAAGGAGAACGCCTGGTGTGTTAGAGTTAGACTTGCAGGTAACATACAGTCTTCTGGAAAGATGTTAAGCAAAGGGTCCATGCTGTTAGTTTCCATTATGTATTTATTTCTGCCACTAATGGTTTCACAAAGGATTTGGTTCCCACAGGCCATGGAGAAAATCTTACAAGGGGAATCAGAATTCTGACATTATCAAATTTGAATGCTTAACTACCCTACAGTGAAAAGTAGTCTTTCTCCATATGCATGTATATGTGTGTGTAAAATATAACAAGAATTCTGTAATCACCATGATTCTGCTACTTATTAAGAATTATGCTATGGCTCCCAAATAAAAAGTTCAGCAAGATAAAAAGCTTCTGCCCAGCAAAGAAACAGTCAACAAAACAAAGAGGCAACCCACAGAATGGGAGAAGATATTTGCAAATGACACTACAGATAAAGGGCTGGTATCCAAGATCTAT